TCCCATGGTTTACCCTATAGTAGCAGGAAGCATATAGTAGATAAGCCTCCGGCTTCTATTTAAACTTCCTTGTCATTACCACTTTAAAAATTTAATTTTGTAAATAATTTCAAAAATTTCTTGTATATTGTTGTATTTATATGTGGTTAATGGCAAAAAATGAATGAATGAATGAATCTTAAAGTTTAAGGAGTGCATGAAAGCTTACAGTCGATTTCTAAACAATCAGGTTAACCTACCTATTCAAGCTGTTCAGTTTGTCACCTCTGGGCTCAGTGTTGTCTTGTCAGTCGACGAGCGTAAACGTCTGAAACTTGGTAGATCTCTCTTAGAATTTCAACTTGTTCAAATCCAGGTGGATGTATTCTTCTACAATATTTATTATTGATGTAGGAGAATAGTTCAAGCTCTTGATCTCTTGATCGCGATACTCTGATCAATACGAGCTATTTTAAACCCTTGAAAGTTGTCGTTTGATGAACAGCCGCAATTCACGATTTAAGGGAGTTTCGTTATTCAAATGCAAGGTACGTACTCAACCTGGTACTCAACATACCGTCCTTTGATCAACCGCCCCAATTCATCGAACGAGTGATAATCTTTCGTAGGAAGTGGGTAATACGTCAACAAAACTGGGGAATTTCGTTATTCAAAAAGCAAGGTATGTATTCAACCCAGTCAAGAGCCATTAAAGACCCAGTACGTACGCACATAAATTATCAAAGGGGTTCGTGTTATAACCATGGAAATTTTAATCATCTTAGAACAAGTGCTTTTGTAGACTGGCCCCAGTCGTTGAAAAGTTTAGCGGGAGAGCTATCCATTATCTCTCGCCAGTGAATCACGTGTTAATCCAACCAATTGCGTTATCCACTTGCTAGAGAGTATTCAGTGGATAGCTAATAATAGCTCTATCTACCTTTTTTGAAGAACCGGGGCCGATGAAGAGTCTAGATTTCTCCTAACTGCTGATAGAAGGCGAGAATGTAGGGACACATTTGAAATCTATCACAACGGACGATGATGTCTGGAATTTGTTTTTTGCTACAGGATTGTCTGTCAGGGTTGCAATGCACATTTCTGAAACGTTAGCTAAGTCGATAAACGGAAAAAGTTTCCTAAGTGCGTGTTTCGCAGCTTGTCTTACTTCTATTATCTTCAGCAGAAAAGCAATTTTTAATAAATTAAAGTAATAATTATTCCAAAATTCAAGGCCTAGAGAGGAAGGAACTTTGAGAAGTTAAAGTCCGCTCTGTACTAGGGAAGCAGCTCAGCTCTTAAAAAAACAAGGCATGGGGCATTAATTGCTGTATTCGGTGGTCATTTATCGAAGAGGTATCACAGGATCAGAGAAGGAATACCCCCGCTTGGTATCGCTACAAGCAGTGATGGACAGTTCCTTATAGCAGACTATTATACCTTGAAAGTGTTCGATAGCAATGGGAACTTTTATATGAGTGTAAGACCCCAATCTAAAACTACCTCGTAGATCTATGATCTCACCATTTCAGACGTGGACAATACGATCTATCTACTAGTGACACAGTTGATGTAACCCAGAATCTCGTCGCCAGAGAAGTTTGAAGTGCAAGTCTTTAACGAGACTCTTGACTTTCAGCTTAGGTTTTCTGTTGGGAAAGGGAGCGGTTTCAACAGAATGACCGTCAGCGGTAGCAAGGTGTTCATATTGAAGGAACATAAAGTGGTTGATCTATACCATGCAAGGAACGGTAGCTATGTTGGTTCGTTTTGTGAAGGGATAATCAAGTCTGCACAGGAAATCACTGCGTCTAAAGATGGGCGAGTTATGGTGTTGGACTCAGACCAGTCATGTCACTTGTTCAATTTAGATGGACTACATCTGGCCAACTTCAGTGTCAACATCTAAGGAGATCGCTATTACCGCATTGCGTGCCACCCAGTTGGTGAACACGTTGTAGTCGCTGGTGAAGAAAGAAAGACACACCTCCTGATAGTAGCAATATACACTGTCAATGGAGACTTTGAGCGAAAGATTCAGCTGAACCAAACTTAAAAGCATAATTTTTTTGGAACACGAAGCCTTGCATTAACAGTGTCCCAGCGGGGTCGTATTGCAGTGGCTTTTGAAGAAAAAATGCAGTGGAAGAGTAATTGTGCTTTAAAACTATCGCACTTCTCTAGGAGACAACTAACTGTAAACAGGTTCACCCTGGAGGCATGCTGAAGGGCATTTTGTTTTAGTTCGCAATTTGCACTGGGGTGTGAAAGCAACTCCACCATGTTTTGTGAAAAGATGCAACTACTCGGAGAAAACAATTTTAGACTACGTCTGAGAATTGTTTGCGCGTGCAACATGATAAGTATCTTTTCCAAAGCTAAGTGAGGAGGGCGGAGTTGAATGCGGGTGTGGGAAACGAGTGTAGAACAGCCAGTGCGGGATGATGAGAAAGCCTACGATTTTAAAAGTCTCTGAATATGCGATTGCGAGAGGCTGGTGACGAGGCAGACGCAGAGTGATTAAAACGTTTGTAAATAGACACAAAGTCGACACGGAGGTATAGAGGTTGCCCGATGGGTTTTTCGGGATCCGTGTGGTTTCGTTACCTTGCTTTACGTTATTCTAAAATTTCTGAGAGTGAATCTATTTCTGTAGGGGCACGAACTTGCTAATTCGTTTCTTTTGTTCAGAGTACATAAGTGTTTTTCACAAATGATAAAAATTTTTTCTTGGAGGCACAGATTACATTTTTTGCTAGCTTTTTTTTTTGCTGAGTACTTTCCCCTGCACGTGAAAGGATCTGTTGGCATCTTTGAGGGTCCACACCCGCTTGGACAGTTCCGTCTCGTTTCTTCTGTTCGCGTGTCGGAAGGATGTCAAGTGATTTCTGTACTGTTCTTTGAAGTTAGTGGCTACTGAGTCCAATGTATGATTCTGTTGTTGTTCCAGTCGTTACAGTCGCTTGGTAAATCACGTTTTGTCTGAGGCAATTACCGTCAAGAAACCGGAATGCCCTCTTGAAGGTAATTGCCTGCAACCGACTAACTCAAAGAACGGTGCAGAAATCACTTGACATCATTAAAATTGTGACTCGTTGATATACTTCTAGGGACCACTACTGACTTACTGCCCGGCGTCAGTTAAAGGCTTTTAATCGGCCTTTTAATGATTTTTCATTGTTTTAAATTGCCAAGTAGTAGAGTGAGTTGATTTTTTTGCTAAACCAAGTTCAAAAATCCAGGTAAAACTATTATATTATATATATACTTTCCCCGTATACAGCAACTTGTACATAGCACCTCTGTCCGTTGTTCGATTATTTTACAGCTTGTTGACTGTTGTTCTTCTTCCCTTTGTTAAAGTAAACTGAATTACGTAGGCTAGTAAGCAATCCATAATTCGAGGTAAAACTTTCTCAGTTTGCCGGACCGCTACCGATGGCTAAGATTGATGCACTTACCTATAATAATTATTCAGATTAAAGTTTAATTACAAATAAAGTGAAAACAACGAAAGACTACCATTTCTCCGAGAAGATAAGTTTTTATTATGATTCACCAACAAACAATCAATTGGCCAAATCAACGTGTTCCTGTTTTTCTGTGTGACGCGCAATACAAATTACCAAGCTCAGCCAAACTTTCAAATCGAAGCAGTTTTCTCGCCGCTTTTTTCCCCGAGATATGCTGTCTTGTCATGCAGGCCCGTAGGAACGAATTTGAAAGTGAGAGGGACAAAAGTTAGCTGTGCTGGTGGCGTACTCAACTGTTATATGAACCCAAGGCCCATTTTTGTAAAAGAAGGGGTTTCGTGCCCTAGGGCCATATGGTCATGTTCCATCCTTTAAGCACTGTATATGAGTCTTCTTTAGCTCTTAGCTGAGAAAGTACTTCGCTTTTGCTACTAATTCCTGCTATAATTCGATCTCGCAACAGACTTTATTTTGGATAAAACAATTAATACGATGGCAAATAACAGCAGTAGTTAGCAGTTAGTCATCTGAGCAATCCGCCGAGGAGGACTGATGACAGCCCTTCTCCTCCATTGATATCACGTTACCATGTGGATATTCTTAGTTTGCAGCCTCGTGACAAGGCGGCCATGTTGGGGATCAATACAATAGAATTGTTTTCTCGAAGGATTTAAATGAAAATAGAGGTTACTTCACAAAGAAAACCACCAACATGGCCGTAGTGACGTCACCTGCAAACCAGCAGTATAGGGTTCATTTCTCCCCACGGTCCGTGGGAGAGAAATGAATGCGTGACGAACGAACCCCAAAGACGTCTGCGGGGAGGCTAGGTTCACTTTTCATTATATCTAAAAACAAAAAGCCTTCGTATGCTCGCAAAGCTTTTAGTAAAATGACCTGTATTAGGGAACAAAACAATGTTAATGTGTATTTATTGGCCATCAAATTTAACTTACATCATGTACTAGGCCTCACTGATTATCCCACAATAAACATTGTTCGATTATGAGAAAAAACATTCGGAAAAGTAATATTTTTGCGTCCTGATTAGTGTTACCAAACTGAACTTATGACGTTTGTTAAACTTGATTATACTATGAACATAGTGGCTTTTATGGTTATCAACAGCTGTTATTTATGCAGTGTATTTTCAAGATAACTTCGCCATGTACCTCTCCAGTAAATTCGGCAGAACAGTAAAGCTCTCTGATTGTCTTCTGGCTTTAAAAACATTAGTCAAAAGAGTTTGTCGGTGTGATGTTGCGAGCAAGTGAGCTGTTCTCTTTAAGAATATGTGCCTGCTTCGTAGTCTTCATTGCCAGAGAACTAATTAGCTAACTGACTAGTTTTAGTGATATTTTCATTTTGTTTTATGATTATTAAACTTTTTAACATAAACAAATGATTTTGTTTGTGTCTTTACAATCTGCAATGAAACAGAAAACAATCTTAAAGGTGCAATTCGAACTAGGACATTTGTCTGGTTTTCTTATATATATTTTCTTATCAAGTTCGTTATTAGTAAATGTTCTTAGTCTAAGTCTTAGTTCAGGTACAGAAGTGTAGTTGTTGTAATGTTTCTTTCACAGCTTGTCTCACTTCTGTGATCTTCCAACAGTACAGAAACGGATTTAACGACGAGTTTAAATGCACTAAAGTACCTGTAAATTGCAAAGCAAGGTAAGTAGATAAAGGCATCTCCCTTTGAGGCGTTAAAGCTTCAGCTATAACGTACGGCAGATAACAAATAACCAATGTTACCTGCACCCACAGTGCACTGTACACTGCCTTTCTGTATCGAGCTTTATTCAGTGTATTTACTTGGCTCGATTGCCCTTGAACAACATGGTTCTGACCATGAATTTGGTTATGACGCAGAGACATGAAGATTTTTGTGTAGGCACAGATTGTAGTGACTAAACAAAAAGCTGTAACAATATACACGTACAATGAAACTATAAAACTATTCAGAAAGAAGCTAGATGCACCGAAAATAGACACAATCCAACCACCAATAGCAATTAAACGTGTCCTTTTCAAAGTTACAACTTGTCTGTATCTGAGACCCAGTAGCAAAGCGAGAAGTCTGTCCACGCTTATTGCAGTCAGTGTTATCAACGACATTGAACACAACGTAACACCTGCGAAATATGATATCAAATCTGCGTAATGGCAAATATCCCATCTTTCGTTCACCACGGATGTCCAATATGCAACGCTTAGAGGCTCGAGAATGATACCAACGCAAAGATCGGTTATCGCTAGGTTACGATACAAGAGTTTTGATGACGGATGAATTGATGTGTCCTTGCGAAGGGCAACTAGGATCAGAGTATTCCCCAAAAATGCTGTAATTGACAAAAAAGTGTTAATGACAGAGAGAAAAACGAGCTCGCCATGTACCTCTCGAGTAAATTCCTCAGAGCAGTCAAGTTCTGCAATTGTTTGCAGGTTTTCACCTCCAGTCAGATTTTTCATTTCCATGACTTTTCTGAGATGCGGCTACAGTCAACTGAACTCTTTTTAATATATCTGTCCTCCTTATATGACTGCTACATGCACCTTGTCAGCAAACAATTAAATATTTGCTCTGTATTTTCAGTTTATTAAACGATAGAATTCGACAATCTTGGTGTTGCCTTTGTGTTGCGGTGCGATTAGCGAGCAAATAGCACAATTGCCTGGCTCTTAGAAAACGAGTTAAACTGTTAGTAATAAAAGTCTATTAACCAAGTCTTGATCGATATTTCTGTTAAGCATATATTCAAATTGAGTAAAAAACGGTTTTCGTCAATTGCTAGAAGTTAAACTGACGCGCTCATAATGTCATCGCAGGCAGCTGTGAGGTCTCAGTAACAATGTAGAAATGTTTAAATAATGGGCTCGAAAGTCTGGGCCATTTACGAGGTAAGAATTAAAGAAAATAAAACGTTCGTTCGAGCTTAGGAAATTAGAATGTAACCTGTTTTTATCATATAAAAATCATGAAAAAAAGAACTGAATTCGACGATTAATTGAGAGCAATCAGCAGTTTTAGTAAACATCGCGAGAGCAAGAACGAGAAGATTTTGCTCAACGGAGGTGTTAAGTTTGTGAGCCAAACATATGATATGCGGTGCCGTAAACTGCGGCTTAAAAGCCCTGGGATTATACATCTTTTGAGGGGGATTATAACGGAATTGGAAAAAGCTGTTCGAAAGAATTCAAGCTAACGCAGTGCTGATTTGAATATGTTTTGCAGTTACTGGCACGGTTAAAAACTCATTATTTTAAATTAGCTTTTAGCTTATAACCTATAATATTTTAACATAGATTTTTTGCACGCATATATAATATTTTTATCTAGTATCCATTTATTAACTATTTAGGAAAGCTGTAATTTTTTATCCATTTCATTGTAGTATTACAATCATTGTAATGTAAAGGTCGGTACACACTAGGCGACAGGTTGCAGCAACATGTCGCGGCGACATGTTGCAGCGACAAATCGCTTCGTATGTACTGGAGAATTTTTGTGAAAATCTTTGTCGCTGCAACAGAATTTGTCGCCGCAACAAGTCGCACAGATTCAGTCTGATTTGATTTTTTGCGACTTGTTGCAGCGACAAAATTCTGTTGCGGAGACAAATATTTTCACAAAGATTCTCCAGTACACACGAAGCGATTTGTCGCTGCGACGTGTCGCCACACCTTGTTGCTGCAACTAGTCGCCCGATCTGTACACACGGAGTAATTTGTCGCCGCGACGTGTTGCAGCAACTTGTCGCCTAGTGTGTACCGACCTTAAAGCGCATTAGATCATACCAATGTATTTTGCGCTATATAAATAATAAAGTTATGTTATGTTATGGTAAAAGCTTCAAAATATCATAATAAATCAAATTCATTTCAATGCAAGTTAGAGGGGAGAATATATTGGCGAGCCTGTTACTGGTGGGGCTTATATTAAAGTGTTTCTGTGTTTTGTAGCTTCAAATTGCTTGTGCCGGTTTTCTTCAACTTTGACTGACGTTCACATGGATACCAGCACTAAATTGGCCACACTTTCTTTAGAAGAGGAAGTCTTAACCAGTATATCCCCAAACATGTCAAATTTTGTGGGCTATAACTTTAACATTTTGGGCGGTTTATTTGCAATTGCTTAAATTGCTATTTTACTACGTCAAGATTATATCTTCATTTAAATTGCTTTTTAAATTTATTTCCCTCGTTCACATCATCTCCCCAGGGGCGTCCAATTCGGATCTGTTATATGAAAGGTAAAATATTTAAAATTAAAAACGCTATGGTGACGCTCGTTTCGATTGAGTATAGTGAACCCAAAATATTAACACGGAACTTGCACCATCATTCACCACCATATTTAGCTGTCCTTTTTTTGTCTGAGAGAAAAATTAACTCGCCATGTACCTCTCCTCGACTCTCCAGTGAATTTTGCAGAACAATACAGTTTTCTAATTGCTTGGTAGTTTGTCATTACCATGACTTTTCTCCGAAGCAACTACGTTCAAGCGAACCTTTTTTAATATACCTGTTTTCCTCATGTGATAGCTGCATCATGTCAAAAACCAATTGGATATGTGGGCTGTATTTTTATTTTATTAGACGACAGAGCTATTGGCAATCTTTTGCTGCCCTGCAATTAGCAAAACAAATAGCACAATTGTCTGGTTTTCAGAAAATGAGCTAAACTGTCATGATCAGTGATACAAAGTTTATTAACCGAGTCTTGATCGATACATCTGTTAAACAAAGATTCAAATTGATTAAAAAAGGTTTTTTATTTATGTACTATCAATGTCTCATCGCAGCCAGGAAGTCTTAACAGTTATACACATGTTCAAAAAATGGGCTAAATTATGTCTGGGTCAGTTTGTACCATATACTTACGAGATGAGAATTAAAGAGAAAAATGCTTTACGTTCGTTTTTGCTGCCACTCTCTCTCTTTTTAAATCCAGATTAAAAGCATTTCTTCTCAGTTGATTAACCATTTGTAAATAATACTTGTTTTTTGCTGCTTTTTGTCTGTTTTTTCCGTTTTGTTTTGCTTCCTTTTTATCCTAATTATATTTCAGTATGAGTTGACTTTGCCGTTTATTTATTCATTCTGTTTAGTCTTAGGTTAGGGAGGGAGCTCATATAATAAGCCCCAAGGTTTCCATTTGAGCTTCCTCGCCAGAACATTTTTAAAAAATTCTTTTACTTGCAATTTACGTCTATTTAATCTTTAAATAACATTTTTGTAATATATTGAATGTCTGTATGCAGATGTATTTTTTCTGGCAAAAAAAAAATAGATTGAAACTAAACTGAAACTGAAACAGTTTCAGAGCATGCTAAACCTTCTTTTAAAGCGATGCCTTGTGCGCAGCGCAACATATAAAAACCAGTTCATACGCATGCGAATGAATTCTTATTTTCAAATAATATAAAGAGCACCAGGACTTACACCTAATTGCAATAACATTGTTACGGAAAAAAAACGCTAAAAAGGAAGACAGGAAGAAGGCAAGTAGTAATTCATTAGACTTACTTGGGGTGCGTTCCTTTGAGATGATCCCAGGGGATGATCCGCAACAGGATCAGAGATCCGAGATCACTCGGATAATGGTAGATTAAGGGACGGACCATTAGAAAACTTATAACGGGGGGGGGGCGGGCGAAGTAAAAAAAAAATATATTCGCGCAAGGCAAAATTAAAGGAAAAAAAATTCATGCACGAAAATTAACCCTAAAAGATATTCATGCCACGGCCTAAAAACAATTCACACAAGGAATTTGATACCGAAAAAAATTCCTGTGGCTCAAAAAATTCCCAACCCCCACCATAACTTTTTTCTAAATGAACCGATGAATCTATCCTAGACAAGGATTCATCACAGGCATCCCAAGCTCACGTTATGAGTGCGTTATGCAAATTTAACTTTCTTTCAAGAGAGTCGGTGTCGCGTTTTAAGCGACCGTTGAGACTTTGTATCAGAAATAAAATACTGAGGTCTGCGAAGGCCAAATATCAGTCTTTTCACTTTTTGCTATAAAATAAATAAAGGAGACTTAACTTTGATGTCTTTCTGTGTTTTTTTTGGTGTGAATTCATCGATGTAGTCGGTTTTTTTGGCTGTTTTTGTGTGACCCCTGTCAGTCTCTCCATAGTACTGAAGAGAGTGACAGGGGTCAGACTATATAGGGTGCACTCACTTGCAATATATGCGTAGAACCGACGCATTTGTATCTGTTTTTAAGCCTTAAAATCGCCTATTCTGCAAATGAAAGCCCTGTAATTGTTTTTTCTAAGCCCACAGGTTGCTAGTCTGCTACACAGCCGTTTTTAGTGTCGTCACGCAACGCTCCTCCCCACAATGGGGAGGAGCGTTGCGTGACGACTCTAAAAACGGCTGTGTAGCAGACTAACAGGTAGCCCAAGCATCGGCATTGTTGCATAACATTCTAAATATAAGGATTTGTATGGAGAAAAACCTATCGTTTCTGAAACCTACGAAAACGAAAGGGTTTCAATAAAAGACAGCTTACCTTACATAAAAAGTGTTTCATCTCTCCTGTGTGGTCCATGGGCCGATTTATAGGTTGTACTGTAAACGGTTTATAAATATACAGAGAAATCCGTTTACAGTGCAACCCCTAAAACGGCCATTAATTGGCCCATGGACAACACAGGAGAGATGTAACACACATTTTATGTAAGGTAAGCTGTTTTTTGTTGAAATCCTTTCATCTTCGTAGGCTACAGAAACGATAGGTTTTCCCCATATATTTCCTTATACAGAATGCTATGCAACAATGCCAATGCTCGCCGATGCTCATATTTCGAGCTCGGGCTACCCGTGGTAAGCCTAATTAATCCCTGTTTGGCTATTTTCGTATTTTCGGTATCCTCCGAGGAAGTGCGCGTCTATAACAAAAGCGAGCAATCTGATAAAAAAAACAAACACACAAACAAACAGACCAAACGAAAAAACAAACAAACATCAACCCAAAACCATCATTCACTCACCAGAATTACAATTCTGCCGTTTACATGTTTATTATTTGTTAACCTAATCTTAAACAATGATGACCGCAATTCTGTCTTCTTACAAGAAATTTTCTTCTATGCAGCACGGTCTACTTTTTTGGTGTTTATATATTAAAGTTACTATCTTATGAAATGATCTGATCATACAATGCGGAATAACAGTACGGTGGGTAAAACGATATCGTATAAACTAAAGACATACAAAACATTTCAAAAAAGATTAAACTAACGTTAATTCCCCCGTAATCGTATAAACACTTATCGCGGCATGCACTTACTGCAAACCGTGTTCAATAAACTTTCTACGGAAATTTTTCTATTTCTTTTTTTTTAACGACCAAGACCTTTTTTACTTTGGATATCATCCTTTGTCCTCATAACCTTTACATTACATTAAGAAGAGATATTTTAAGTTACATGCTGTTTACCTAAAGGGCCAAGAGTTTAAATAGATGGGCAAATAAGCGGAGAACCAGTCATGAAAGTTTGCAATAAGCAAATAAAGAAATGGACGGAACTTAGCAAACAGCGCCGCGCGAAGGGTGTGTGAAAGGAAGGAGGACACGTTCTTTACCTTTTCGTTCCCTTAATCTGCTATTTTTTTCAATTTTCTAACTAGTAAGGAAATCCCAAGGACATATCACTTAATAATTATTCATTTTTTATGATTAAAACATGTTTCTTTTCATTCAGTTATAAAAAATATCGATTTAAATGTTGCGAGTGCACCACTGCAAACTTCCCAAATGTTCAATGTCAAGACATACAGTAACCTGATTTTCTTTGTTATCCCTACTTTTCAAGCTAAATTATCCTTGTATTCTAAGGGCAATCATCATAAGCATGCTTCCATGTTCAGAGTATAAACAACAGATTATGATTGGTCCAATTATGATCTCTTGGTATGAATGATTTTAGTGTTTTTACAACGATAAATAAACAATCTGACAAACGACTATAACTGATCAACCTAAACCTACTTTTCATTTCTTATTCATCATGAGATTTGCTGATTGTTTTCTTAATTAACTTTCTAAAGTAATTTATGATTACTGTTTTTCAAATTCTGACCAATATCACTCTTTTGACCCCTGAAAGGACCTTGATAGTTCGTGGCGAATGGCCCCTAATTGGACACCATTAACGGCTCAAGGCCGAGGGCCAGCCTAGGCACAACAAATATGCACCGGAGCCAAACGGTCTGTACTGCTGGGAACTCCTTGATAATGTACGACGAAATTTATCTCTGTTTTCATTACTTACACAAAAATAGTTTTGTGTGTAATACCACACCGGAACTTTTAGAGCCCACCCCTAGGAAGACCTCAAAAGTCAAGGCTTCTAGTTAGACAGCTTGAATGGCTCCAGGGCCCGGGCCAGCTTGTGGACCCCAGATAAGCACTGGGTCCAAGCGGTCTGTGCGGCTGGGAACCTTTTAATTATGAGCCACGAAACGAACAGAAACAAACAAAAGTACATCGTCCAACGAATGTTACGCAGTCTGGAAAACAACATAGGAAAAGTGCTTTAGTAAAAGAGTGCTCTTTGCTCATATCAGCAGCTCTTGACTTTATGCGCAGATTAGATCACGTTTTTTGTCAGATAAATCATGTAAGTAAAATCTGACGTCACTATCGTTTAGCCAGCAAAGGGGATGAATGTTTCTGGATTTAATGACAGTCGTGATGAGATAAGCCGTTAAGTGTACGCGCTATATCTAGAATAAGAGGGGATTTCAACTGTCGCGTAATTTTACGTGCGTAAATTAAATAGAGGCAATGTATGAAAAACCGAGTGTAAACTTGAGCGAAGATCAACTCTTACGTTTACGCGGGACATTCCGTACATTGCCTCTATTTTATTTACACGCGTAACATGTACGCATGTAAAAATTACGCGACGGTGGAAATCCACCTTTACTGGCCCTATGCAGAAAGTAAGAATGAATGCATACTTTCTGGAACCACTCGCTTGCAAAACGAAAGGTAACAGTTATTTGACCACTTACTTGCGGATCCGACTATGTGCCACTGGAAGATTAGCCAGATCTTCTTTCAACAGAAACGTCTTGAGGCCGATGGTAAACCGCTTAAGATAGTTTTCCCACTCAATTTTTTCCACGTCAAAATTAAAAATCTGAAAAGGGAACAAGCGTATAATAGTGAAAATAAAGTCATGGGTGACAAATTGCTCCTGAATTCTTGCGCAAAATTTCAGCGTTGAATCCACATGTGAAATTACGGCAAAATTGCTAAGACAATGTTACGTTTGTACCAGATGGCGTCAAGGTTTCAAGATAGCACAAATGGAGATGTCAGAACATTTAAAGACAATAAGGAGTACCTAAACACACCAAAGAGAACAAATTTTATCAACAAGGATTCTAGCGGGTATTTTAGGAAAAAATTCTGAAAATTTTGAATATTTAATGTATGTTTTAAACTTTTCAGTACTTGGAGTTTTCGATACGAAAAAGTGAAAACTCACGATAAGCGTTATTGTCACCCATGACATAAACAGGTCATACACTGGTGAAATCAAGAAATGATTTCACCTGCATTTTGTCAAAATCCTTATAATTTCACTCGTCACCATTTCTTTACACACACTAATATTGTTATTTGACACAACAACAAAAAAAACTGTTTTGGCCGACTAGCCTCTCGGTCCTGTGGACTCATGTCCTGTATCAAACCGCGATAATTCTCCATTGAAAACTGCAAATCACAGCAACATTCATTTCGTCAAAACATATTCAACAACAAGAAGAACAAAGCTAGGAAGACAGAGCATTTTTCAATCGAATATCTTAAAATCAAAACCAGATTTCGGTCGAAACTAATTGCTTTACGGCCACTCCACTTACAGCCGCTTGAACTCTTCATTCAATAGAACATTACCGTAGGCCCGCAGGTGTCGGGTTTAGGGACGCTTCGACTGAACTTTGTCTCGCCAATCACAGTTACAGAAGATAATCAAATGAACCAATCAGATATTAAACCAAGGACGTGTCCTCGGCGAAAAGCGCGGAAAAAGCATACCAGCAAGTCACGACCGGTTTTAAACTCAAAAAGTGGCGCCCAAATATTGTCACGAAGGGTTTAGGGTGCGTTCCTTTGGGATGATTCGGATTAGAATCAGTGATCCGAGGTTACTCGGATCATGGTAAATCAAATGAACCAATGAAAGTCTTTCAAAAGGATTAATTTATCGTCTCCTTTGATGTGCTATAATCCGATCGATCCGATTACTGAGCCTGTTCCGGGTCATCCCAGTGGAACGCGCCCTTAGTTGCATCAAAAGGAACTGTGGCGCGGTGTCGGTGGGGAGTCAAACACAAAATTTGATTTTATTAACTGAGCTATCAAAATAAATTTATCACCGAAAAAAAAAAAGATTCAAAAGCTGACATTTCGAACTTAGCTAGCCTGCGAATACGGCTGTCTCTCCTAGGGACGTTTTTTTTAATCTTTTAGGTCCCAAGAGTGACCAACATAAATTTTCTCCCAACAGCATCAGCAGATCATCGCGTAAAGGTTATGAGAATTACTAAATTGATTACCAAAGGGAGAATACTTTGATCTTCAACCAAATTCTCTCCACTATTCTTAAAAGAAATGTATGGACATCAGTGTAGAGAATCTGTATGTAGATCTTGGGGCTTAAAGAACGGCAGCGTTTCAAGTGGTTGGTGTTGACTTCGCCGGGCCTTTGAAGTATAGGAAGGGAAAGAACAACGAAGCCAAGGCGTACATCGTGCTCTACGTATGTAGCCTAACCCAAGGGATCTACCTAGAGTTGTTACCAAACATGGAGACCAAAGAATTCATGAGCAGTTTAAAGAGGTTTATAGCACGTCGAGGGCGCCCAGAGACTTTCTATTCTGACAATGGGAGAACTTTCGTCGGTGCAGCTAGGCTACTGAAGACCATCATGAGGGACGAGGCGTTTCACGACTACCTGGCGCACAACGGGATCAAGTGGAAGTTCAATTTAAGTAGAGCTCCCTGGTGGGGTGGTCAATTCGAGCGGTTAATAGGACTGGTTAAAAGAGCACTTCACAAGACCATCGGTTCAGGAATGCTGACGTGGGCAGAACTACAGGATGTTATACTTGACGTAGAAGTGACGCTGAACAACCGTCCGCTGAGCTATGTTGAGGACGACCTTCAACTTCCAGTACTAACACCAAATTCATTGCTTTTCGGACAACCCAATCCACTGCCTGAGCTGGAGTGTCATCATTTAGAAACCCCAGACTTGCGAAAACGTGCCAGGTACCTCAAACGCTGCAAGGATGTGATTTGGAAGCGTTGTACCGATGAGTACTTAAAGGGACTTTGTGAGCGACATCTCCTTAAACACTCAGGTGCACCTACTACCATAGCTGTCGGTGACGTGATGCTGATCAAAGAAGACGAGAGGAACCGAGGAAAATGGAAGATGGGGATTGTTTACGAACTCATAGTTGGCCGTGCTCCTGGCCGTGATGGAGTTGTAAGGGCGGCAAAGCTGCGAGCCGGGAACTCGTACCTCGAGCGAGCTTTACAACAGCTGTATCCCCTCGAGTTGGCATGTGATCGGGATACAGGGAGATCCAAGAGCCAGCTGAACCCTGACGCCGAAGCATTTACCCCAAAATAGACAAGGCGTGCTGCGCAAGAAGCCAGAGACCGCATTGCAGCTGTGGCTGCCGATGCTGAAGAAGACTTTGAACGATCACCTTGTTAATCTGAGAACTTGCCACTAGGGCTGTTATCAATTAAGTGAACGTTTTTAGTCAGAACTTTTATACAATCATTTTAGTTTCGTTGTTTTTTTAGAGAATAACTTCATTTATCGACGAACATTTGCTCTCTTCGAGACAAATGGGGGGAGAATGTTAGAAATATTACGAGTGTGACAATTTTAGTACTTGACAATTTTATATATCATATCGATCATTTAGCTATTTTGGAGATAATCAAGTACCAAAGACGTCAATCAAAATGATTGGTAACTTTAGATTTTTCAACAGTATATGTATTCAATATATAGATTCTTCGCTTCACTTGAGACTAGAGCAGCTTTCGGGACGGTTACGGGTGTGACTTTTTTACTGTGACTTTTAATTAAACAATCTGAAGTGAGTGAATAGTGTTGTGGTACTACATTTCCAACAATTGAATTTGGGGTTACTTAGACCCCGTTTTACGGTATGTGAAGGAGAGGGTCACAGTCCCAGTCCAGTCAACTTCAGCTAGCGTTTATATGAGGATAAAGTTTTCACGCATGCTCTGCATGATTTTATCGCCTTGACAGAGTCGACCCAGCTGGGCGAGCCAACCTGTCAATACAGCTATTTCGAGAAAGGTTAACAGAAAAATGTGCTCGCGACAATCCCGAACGGTAATTTGGGATATGATCAATACGCTGTTCTTGACCCTGTAGCTGTCGAATCTTCCATTGTTGCTTTCCTTTAGCATTAGAAAACATACGTCTATAGCCTCTCGTGCCATTCTTCCAAATTTTTTTGAACAACAGTGAACTCAAAACCACCCACAATATACCTTTCGGGATCGTCGCGTGTACTTTTTCCGACAACCTTTCTCAAAATTGCTGTATGGAGAAAAGTTGACCCGGCTAGGAGGGTGACCCTACCACTCTAAAAGAGTGATCCGGCAAGGCGGGTCATCCTTTTAGCCAAGCCAAGTTTCTGTTTCTCATGTTAACGGTACACCACGTTTTGTAATGAAATGTATAAAAAGTTGGCTCGCCCAAGGTAGCTCAGATAAGCGGGTGATCCTTTTTTACCGAGACATGTTTTCCCCTTAATAACGAGGCTTTAACATGTTGGATACAACCATCGTATTTCTAGGAAGTTTTGACGCCACAATCCAGACGATCTCAGAAAAAGGGGAACTCAACTGGAATTAGCAGGAAAATGTTACGGTTGGCGTTTGCTGCTTTTTCCATTAGAGCTCCGTTTTTAGGCCTTTTTTCTCAGTAAAATATATTTATTTGAGCTACATACCTTTTCTTTTAAAAATTAGTCCATTTTTCATTCAGCACCCTTAAACCCCCATGGTTTACCCTATAGTTGCAGGAAGCATATGGTGTATAAGCTCCCGGCTTCTATTTAGGCTTCCTTGCCATTACCACTTTAAAAATTTAATTTTGTAAATAATTTCGTTAGAATAGTGTATATTATCTTTAATGTATTATAAATTTCTTGTATATTGTTGTATTTATATGTGGTTAATGGCAAAAATGAATGAATGAATGAATCTTTAAGTTTAAGGAGTGCACGAAAGCTTAGAGTCGATTTCTAAACAATCTTTAACCTACCTATTCAAACTGTTCAGTTTGTCACCTCTGAGCTCAGTGTTGTCAGTCGACGAGCGTAAACTTGTGAAACTTGGTGGATCTGTCTTAGAATTTCAACTCGGTTCAAATCCAGGTGGATGTATTCTTCTACAATATTTATCATTGATGCAGGAGAATAGTTAAAGCTCTTGATCTCTTGATCTCGATACTGTGATCAATACGAGTTATTTTAAACCCTTGAAAGCTGTCCTTTGATGAACCGCCCCAATTCATCGAAGGAGTGATAATCTTTCGTAGAAAGTGGATAATACGTCAGCAAAACTGGGGAATTTCGTTATTCAAAAAGCAGGCTCTTGTCCCAGTACGTACTCACATAAATTATCAACGGGGTGGTTCGTGTTATAACGAGGGAAATTTTTAATCATCTTAGAACAAGTGCTTTTGTAGACTGGCCCCAGTCGTTGACAAGTTTAGTGGGGAGAGCTATCCATTATCTCTCGCCAGTGAATCACGTGTTAATCCAAGCAATTGCGTTATCCACTTGATATAGAGTATTCAGTGGATAACTAATAATAGCTCTATCTACCTTTTGAACAACCGGGGCCGATGAAGAGTCTAGATTTCTCCTTACTGCTGATAGAAGGAGAGAACGTAGGGACATATTTGAAATCTAATATCACAATGACGACGATGTCTGGAATTTTTTTTGCTACAGGCTTGTCGGTCAGGGATGCAATGCACATTTCTGAAACGTTAGCTAAGTCGATAAACAGAAGACGTTGCCTAAGTGCGTGTTTCGCAGCTTGTCTTACTTCTATTATCTTCAGCAGAAAAGCAGTTTTAATAAATTAAAGTAATAATTATTCCAAAATTCAAGGCCTAGTGAGGAAGGAACTTTGAGAAGTTAAAGTCCGTTCTGTACTAGGAAGCCAATTTTAAAAGTCTCTGAATATGCGATTGCGAGCGGCTGGTAAAGAGGCAGACGGAGAGTGATTAAAACGTTTGTAAATAGACACAAAGTCGACACGGAGGTATAGAGGTTCCTCAATGGGTTTTTCGGGATCCGTGCGGTTTCGTTGCGTTGCGTTACGTTATTCTAAAATTTCTGAGAGTGAATCTATTTCTGTATGGGCATGAACTTGCTAATTCGTTTCTTTTGTTCAGAGTACATAAGTGTTTTTCACAAATGATAAAAATTTTTTCTTCGAGGCACAGATTACATTTTTTGCTAGCCTTGTCATATGGTTTACAATTCCTGAGTACTTTCCCCTGCACGTGAAAGTATCTGTAGGCATCTTTGAGAGTCCACACCCGTTTGAACAGTTCCGTCTCGTTTCTTCTGTTTGCGTGTCGGAAGGATGTCAAGTGATTTCTGTACTGTTCTTTGAAGTTAGTGGCTACTGAGTCCAATGTATGATTCTGTTGTTGTTCCAGTCGTTACAGTCGCTTGGTAAATCACGTTTTGTCTGAGGCAATTACCGTCAAGAAACCGGAATGCCCTCTTGAAGGTAATTGCCTGCAACCGACTATTAAACTTCAAAGAACGGTGCAGAAATCACTTGACATCATTAAAATTGTGACTCGTTGAAATACTTCTAGGGACCACTACTGACTTACTGCCTGGCGTCAGATAAAGGCTTTTAATCGGCCTTTTAATGATTTTTCATTGTTTTAAATTGCCAAGTAGTAGAGTGAGTTGATTTTTTTTGCTAAACCAAGTTCAAAAATCCAGGTAAAACTATATATATATATCGTATATATTATATATATACAGTGTATATATACTTTCCCCCAAAACAGCAACTTGTACATAGCACCTCTATCTGTTGTTCGATTAGTTTACAGCTTGTTGACTGTTGTTCTTCTTCTTCTCTTTGTTAAAGTAAACTGAATTACGTAGGGTGGTAAAGCAATCCATAATTCGAGGTAAAACTTTCTCAGTTTGCCGGAACCGCTACCGATGGCTAAAGATTGATGCACTTACCTATAATAATTATTCAAATTAAAGTTTAATTACAAATAAAGTGAAAACAACGAAAGACTACCATTTCTCCGAGAAGATAAGTTTTTATTATGATTCACCAAACAATCAATTGGCCAAATCAACGTGTTCCTGTTTTTCTGTGTGACGCGCAATTCAAATTACCAAGCTCAGCCAAACTTTCAAATCGAAGCAGTTTTCTGGCCGCTTTTTTTCCGAGATATGCTGTCTTCAGTTGTCATGCGGGCCCGTAAGAACGAATTTGAAAGTGAGAGGGGACAAAAGTTAGCAGTGCTGGTGGCGTACTCAACTGTTATATGAACCCAAGGCCCATTTTTGTAAAAGAAGGGGTTTCGTGCCCTAGGGCCATATGGTGATGTTCCATCCTTTAAGCACTGTATATGAGTCTTCTTTAGCTCTTAGCTGAGAAAGTACTTCGCTTTTGCTACTAATTCCTGCTATAATTCGACCGCACAGCAGACTTTATTTTGGATAAAACAATTGATACGATGGCAAATAACAGCAGTAGGTAACAGTTAGTCATCTGAGCAATCCCCCGAGGGGGACTGGTGATAGCCCCTTTTCCATTGATATCACGTTACCATGCGGGTATTCTTAGTTTGCAACCACGTGACAAGGCGACCATGTTGGGGGCCAGTAAAAAAGAATTGTTTTCTCGAAGAGCTTACATGAAAATAGAGGATATACTTCCCAGGGAAGAGACATGCTTTTGTTCTTGACGACCTAGATGCCGCTGTGTGACGTCACATGCAAACCAGAAGTATAATAGTTCACTTTTCATTATATCTAAAACAAAAGCCTTCGTATGCTCGCAAGCTTTTATTAAAATGACCTGTGTTACGCAACAGAACAATGTTAATGTGTATTTATTGGCCATCAAATTTAACTTACATCATGTACCGGCCCTCATTATCCCACAATAAATATTGTTCGATTTTGAAAAAGCATTCGGAAAAGTAATATTTTTGCGCCCTGATTAGTTTTACCAAACTGAACTTATGACGTTTGTTAAACTTGATTATACTATGAACATAGTGCCTTTTATGGTTATCAACAGCTGTTATTTATGCAGTGTATTTTCAAGATAACTTCGCCATGTACCTCTTCAGCAACTTCCGCAGAACAGTAAAGCTCTCTGATAATTCTGATTGTCTTTTGGCTTTAAAAAACATTAGTCAAAAGAATTTGTCGGTGTGATGTTGCGAGCAAGTGAGCTGTTTACTTTAAGAATATGTCCCTACCTCGTAGTCTTCATTGCTAGAGAACTAATTAGCTAACTGACTAGTTTTAGTGATATTTTCATTTTGTTTTATGATTATTAAACTTTTTAACATAAACAAATGATTTTGTTTGTGTCTTTACAATCTGCAATGAAACAGAAAAATATCTTAAAGGTGCAATTCGGACTAGGACATTTGTCTGGTTTTCTTATACATATTTTCTTATCAAGTTCGTTAGTAAATGTTCTTAGCCGAAGTCTTAGTTCAGGTACAGAAGTGTAGTTGTTGTAATGTTTCTTTTACAGCTTGTCTCACTTCTGTGATCTTCCAGCAGTACAGCAAGGGGTTTAACGACGAGTTCAAATACACTAAAGTAAGTGTAAATACCCTGGCAAGGTAAGTAGATAAAGGCATCCCCCTTTGAGGTTTTACAGCTCCAGCTATACCGTACGGCAGATAACAAATAACCAATGTTACCTGCACCCACAGTGCACCGTATACTGCCTTTCTGTATCGAGCTATATTCAGTGTATTTACTTGGCTCGATTGTCCTTGAACGACATGGTTCTGAACATGAATTTGGTTATGACGCAGAGACATGAAGATTTTTGTGTAGGCAAAGATTGTAGTGACTAAACAAAAAGCTATAACAATATATTGGTACAATGAAAAAATAAGAAGATTCAGAAATAATGTAGATGCACCGACAACAGACACAATCCAACCACCAATAGCAACTAAACGTGTTCTTTTCAAAGTTACAACTTGTCTGTATCTGAGACCCAGTAGCAAAGCGAGAAGTCTGTCCACGCTTATTGCAGTCAGTGTTATCAACGACACTGAACACAAAGTAGCACCTGCGAAAGATGCTGTCCAAATTGTGTAATAGCAAATGACCCGTCTTCTGTTCACCACAGAGATCATATAAGCAACCAGTAGAGGCTCCGCAATGATACCAACACAAAGATCAGTTATCGCAAGGTTACGATACAGGAGTTTGGATGGCGGATGAATTGATGTGTCCTTGCGAAGGGCAAATAGGATCAGAGTATTCCCCAAAAATGCTGTAATGGACAAAAAAGTGTTAATGACAGAGAGAAAAACGAGCTCGCCATGTACCTCTCCAGTAAATTCCTCAGAGCAGTAAAGTTCTGCAATTGTTTGCGGGTTTTCACCTCCAGTCAAATTTTTCATTTCCATGACTTTTCTGCGATGCGGCTTCAGTCAACTGAACTCTTTTTTAATATATCTGTCCTCCTTATATGACTGCTACATGCACCTTGCCAGCAAACAATTAAATATTTGCTCTGTATTTTCAGTTTATTAAACGATAGAATTCGACAATCTTGGTGTTGCCTTTGTGTTGCGGTGCGATTAGCGAGCAAATAGCACAATTGCCTGGCTCTTAGAAAACGAGTTAAACTGTTAGTAATAAAAAGTCTATTAACCAAGTCTTGATCGATATTTCTGTTAAACATATATTCAAATTGAGTAAAAAACGGTTTTCGTCAATTGCTAGAAGTTAAACTGACCTGCTCATAATGTCATCGCAGGCAGCTGTGAGGTCTCAGTAACAATGTATAAATGTTCAAAAAAAGGGCTCGAAAGTCTGGGCCATTTACGAGGTGGGAATTAAACAAAATAAAACGTTCGATCGAGTTTAGGAAACTAGAATGTAACCTGTTTTTATCATATAAAAATCATGAAAAAAAGAACTGAATTCGACGATTAATCGAGAGCAATCAGCAGTTTTAGTAAACATCGTGAGAGCAAGAACGAGAAAATTTTGCTCAACGGAGGTGTTATAAGTTTTTGAGCCAAACATATGATATGCGGTGCCGTAAACTGCCGCTTAAAAGCCCTGGGATTATACATCTTTTCAGGGGATTATAACGGAAATGGTTAAAGCTGTTCGAAACAATTCAAGCTAACGCAGTGCTGATTTAAATATGTTTTGCAGTTACTGGCACGGTTAAAAACTCATTATTTTAAATTAGCTTTTAGCTTATAACCTATAATATTTTAACATAGATTTTTTGCACGCATATATAATATTTTTATCTAGTATCCATTTATTAACTATTTAGGAAAGCTGTAGTTTTTTATCCATTTCATTGTAGTATTATAATCATTGTAATGTAAAGCGCATTAGATCATATACCAATGTATTTTGCGCTATATAAATAATAGAGTTATGTTATGTTATGGTAAAAGCTTCAAAATATCATAATAAATCAAATTCATTTCAATGCAAGTTAGAGGGGAGAATATATTGGCGAGCCTGTTACTGGTGGGGCTTATATTAAAGTGGTTCTGTATTTTGTAGCTTCAAATTGCTTGTGCCGTTTTTCTTCAACTTTGACTGACGTTCACATGGATACCAGCACTAAATTGGCCACATTTTCTTTAGAAGAGGAAGTCTTAACCGAGTATATCCCCAAACATGTCAAACTGTGTGGGCTATAACTTTTATTAACATTTTGGACGGTTTATTTGCAATTGCTTAAATTGCTATTTTACTACGTCAAGATTATACCTTCATTTAAATTGCTTTTTAAATTTATTTCCCTCGTTCACATCATCTCCCGGCGCGTCCAATTCGGATCTGTTATATGAAAGGTAAAATATTTAAAATTAAAAACGCCAGGGTGACGCTCGTTTCGATTGAGTATAGTGAACCCAGAGTATTAACATAGAACTTGCACCATCATTCACCATCATATTTAGCTATCCTCTTTTGTCTTAGAGAAAAATTAACTCGCCATGTACCTCTCCTCGACTCTCCAGTGAATTTTGCAGAACAATACAGTTTTCTAATTGCTTGGTAGTTTGTCATTACCATGACTTTTCTCCGAAGCAACTACGTTCAAGCGAACCTTTTTTTAATGTACCTGTTTTCCTCATGTGATAGCTGCATCATGTCAAAAACCAATTAGATATGTGGGCTGTATTTTTATTTTATTAGACGACAGAGCTATTGGCAATCTTTTTGCTGCCCTGCAATTGGCAAAACAAATAGCACAATTGTCTGGTTTTCAGAAAATGAGCTTAACTGTCATGATCAGTGATACAAAGTTTATTAACTGAGTCTTGATCGATACATCTGTTAAACAAAGATTCAAATTGGTTAAAAAAGGTTTTTTATTAATGTACTATCAATGTCTCATCGCAGCCAGGAAGTCTTAACAGTTATACACATGTTCAAAAAATGGGCTAAATTATGTCTGGGTCAGTTTGTACCATATACTTACGAGATGAGAATTAAAGAGAAAAAATGCTTTACGTTCGTTTTTGCTGCCACTCTCTCTCTTTTTAAATCCAGATTAAAAGCATTTCTTCTCAGTTGATTAACCATTTGTAAATAATACTTGTTTTTTGCTGCTTTTTGTCTGTTTTTTTCCGTTTTGTTTTGCTTCCTTTTTATCCTAATTATATTTCAGTATGAGTTGACTTTGCCGTTTATTTATTCATTCTGTTTAGTCTTAGGTTAGGGAGGGAGCTCATATAATAAGCCCCAAGGTTTCCATTTGAGCTTCCTCGCCAGAACATTTTTTAAAAATTCTTTTACTTGCAATTTACGTCTATTTAATCTTTAAATAACATTTTTGTAATATATTGAATGTCTGTATGCAGATGTATTTTTTTCTGGCAAAAAAAAATAGATTGAAACTAAACTGAAACTGAAACAGTTTCAGAGCATGCTAAACCCTCTTTTTAAAGGGATGCCTTGTGCGCAGCGCAACATATAAAAACCAGTTCATACTCATGCGAATGAATTCTTATTTTCAAATAATAGAAAGAGCACCAGGACTTACACCTAATTGCAATAACATTGTTACGGAAAAAAATGCTAAAAGGAAGACAGGAAAAAGGCAAGTAGTAATTAATTAGACTTACTTGGGGTGCGTTCCTTTGGGATGATCCCAGGGGATGATCCGCAACAGGATCAGAGATCCGAGATCACTCGGATAATGGTAGATTAAGGGACGGACCATTAGAAAACTTACAACGGGGGTGTGGGCGGGCGAAGTACAAAAAAAAATAGTCGCGCAAGGCAAAATTAAAGGAAAAAAAATTCATGCACGAAAATTAACCCTAAAAGATATTCATGCCACGGCCTAAAAACAATTTACACAAGGAATTTGATAACGAAAAAAAATTCCTGTGGCTCAAAAATTCCCCACCCCCCACCATAACTTTTCTAAATGAACCGATGAATCTATCCTAGACAAGGATTCATCACAGGCATCCCAAGCTCACGTTATGAGTGCGTTATGCAAATTTAACTTTCTTTCAAGGGAGTCGGTGTCGCGTTTTAAGCGACCGTTGAGACTTTGTATGAGAAATAAAATACTGAGGTCTGCGAAGGCCAAATATCAGTGTTTTCACTTTTTGCTATAAAATAAATAAAGGAGACTTAACTTTGATGTCTTTCTGTGTTTTTTTTGGTGTGAATTCATCGATGTAGTCGGTTTTTTTGGCTGTTTTTGTGTGACCCCTGTCAGTCTCTCCATAGTACTGAAGAGAGTGACAGGGGTCAGACTATATAGGGTGCACTCACTTGCAATATCTGCGTAGAACCGACGCATTTGTATCTGTTTTTAAGCCTTAAAATCGCCTATTCTGCAAATGAAAGCCCTGTAATTGTTTTTTCTAAGCCCACAGGTTGCTAGTCTGCTACACAGCCGTTTTTAGTGTCGTCACGCAACGCTCCTCCCCACAATGGGGAGGAGCGTTGCGTGACGACTCTAAAAACGGCTGTGTAGCAGACTAACAGGTAGCCCAAGCATCGGCATTGTTGCATAACATTCTAAATATAAGGGTTTGTATGGAGAAAAACCTATCGTTTCTGAAACCTACGAAAACGAAAGGGTTTCAATAAAAGACAGCTTACCTTACATAAAATGTGTTTCATCTCTCCTGTGTAGTCCATGGGCCGATTTATAGGTTGTACTGTAAACGGTTTATAAATATACAGAGAAATCCGCTTACAGTGCAACCCCTAAAACGGACATTAATTGGCCCATGGACTAGACAGGAGAGATGTAACACACATTTTATGTAAGGTACGCTGTTTTTTGTTGAAATGCTTTCATCTTCGTAGGCTACAGAAACGATAGGTTTTTTCCCCATATATTTCCTTATACAGAATGCTATGCAACAATGCCAATGCTCGCCGATGCTCATATTTCGAGCTCGGGCTACCCGTGGTAAGCCTAATTAATCCTTGTTTGGCTATTTTCGTATTTTCGGTATCCTCCGAGGAAGTGCGCGTCTATAACAAAAGCGAGCAATCTGATAAAAAAAACAAACACACAAACAAACAGACCAAACGAAAAAACAAACAAACATCAACCCAAAACCATCATTCACTCACCAGAATTACAATTCTGCCATTTACATGTTTATTATTTGTTAACCTAATCTTAAACAATGATGACCGCAATTCTGTCTTCTTACAAGAAATTTTCTTCTATGCAGCACGGTCTACTTTTTTGGTGTTTATATATTAAAGTTACTATCTTATGAAATGATCTGATCATATAATGCGGAATAACAGTACGGTGGGTAAAAGGATATCGTATAAACTAAAGACATACAAAACATTTCAAAAAAGATTAAACTAACGTTAATTCCCCCGTAATCGTATAAACACTTATCGCGGCATGCACTTACTGCAAACCGTGTTCAATAAACTTTCTACGGAAATTTTTCTATTTCTTTTTTTTTAACGACCAAGACCTTTTTTACTTTGGATATCATCCTTTGTCCTCATAACCTTTACATTACATTAAGAAGAGATATTTTAAGTTACATGCTGTTTACCTAAAGGGCCAAGAGTTAAAATAGACGGGCAAATAAGCGGAGAACCAGTCATGAAAGTTTGCAATAAGCAAATAAAGAAATGGACGGAACTTAGCAAACAGCGCCGCGCGAAGGGTGTGTGAAAGGAAGGAGGACACGTTCTTTACCTTTTCGTTCCCTTAATCTGCTATTTTTTTCAATTTTCTAACTAGTAAGGAAATCCCAAGGACATATCACTTAATAATTATTCATTTTTTATGATTAAAACATGTTTCTTTTCATTCAGTTATAAAAAATATCGATTTAAATGTTGCGAGTGCACCACTGCAAACTTCCCAAATGTTCAATGTCAAGACATACAGTAACCTGATTTTCTTTGTTATCCCTACTTTTCAAGCTAAATTATCCTTGTATTCTAAGGGCAATCATCATAAGCATGCTTCCATGTTCAGAGTATAAACAACAGATTATGATTGGTCCAATTATGATCTCTTGGTATGAATGATTTTAGTGTTTTTACAACGATAAATAAACAATCTGACAAACGACTATAACTGATCAACCTAAACCTACTTTTCATTTCTTATTCATCATGAGATTTGCTGATAGTTTTCTTAATTAACTTTCTAAAGTAATTTATGATTACTGTTTTTCAAATTCTGACCAATATCACTCTTTTCACCCCTGAAAGGACCTTGATAGTTCGTGGCGAATGGCCTCTAGTTGGACACCATTAACGGCTCAAGGACCAGGGCCAGCCTAGGCACAACAAATATGCACCGGAACCAAACGGTCTGTACAGCTGGGAACTCCTTGATAATGTGCCACGAAATTTATCTCTGTTTTCATTACTTACACAAAATAGTTTCGTGTGTAATACCACACCGGACCTTTTGGAGCCCATCCCTAGGAAGACCTCAAAAGTCACGGCTTCTAGTTAGACAGCTTGAATGGCTCCAGGGCCCGGGCCAGCTTGTGGACACCAGATAAGCAGTGGGTCAGAGCGGTCTGTGCGACTGGGAACCTTTTAATTATGAGCCACGAAACGAACAGAAACAAACAAAAGTACATCATCCAACGAATGTTACGCAGTCTGGAAAACAACATAGGAAAAATGCTTCAGTAAAAGAGTGCTCTTTGCTCATAGAAGCAGTTCTTGACTTTATGAACAGATTAGATCACGTTTTTTGTCAGATAAATCATGTAAGTAACATCTCACGTCACTATCGTTTAGCCAGCAAAGGGGACGAATGTTTCTGGATTTAATGACAGTCGTGATCAGATAAGCCGTTAAGAGTACGCGCTATATCCAGAATAAGAGGGGATTTCCACTGTCGCGTAATTTTACGTGCGTAAATAAAATAGAGGCAATGTATGAAAAACCGAGTGTAAACTTGAACGAAGTTCAACTCTTACGTTTACGCGGGACATTCCGTACATTGCCTCTATTTTATTTACGCGCGTAACATGTACGCATGTAAAAATTACGCGACGGTGGAAATCCACCTTTACTGGCCCTATGCAGAAAGTAAGAATGAATGCATACTTTCTGGAACCACTCGCTCGCAAAACGAAAGGTAACAGTTATTTGACCACTTACTTGCGGATCCGACTATGTGCCACTGGAAGATTAGCCAGATCTTCTTTCAACAAAAATGTCTTAAGGCCGATGGTAAACCGCTTAAGATAGTTTTTCCACTCAATTTTTTCCACGTCAAAATTAAAAATCTGAAAAGGGAACAAGCGTATGATAGTGAAAATAAAATCATGGGTGACAAATTGCTCCTGAATTCTTGCGCAAAATTTCAGCGTTGAATCCACATGTAAAATTACGGCAAAATTGCTAAGACAATGTTACGTTTGTACCAGATGGCGTGAAGGTTTAAAGATAGCACGAATGAAGATGTCAGAGCATTTAAAGACAATAAGGAGTACCTAAACACACCAAAGAGAACAAATTTTATCAACAAGGATTCTAGCGGGTATTTTAGTAAAAAATTCTGAAAATTTTGAATATTTAATGTATGTTTTCAACTTTTCAGTACTTGGAGGTTTCGATACGAACAAGTGAAAACTCACGATAAGCGTTATTGTCACCCATGACATAAAAAGGTGATACACCTGCATTTTGTCAAAATTCTTGTAATTTCATTTGTCACCATTTCTTTACACACACAAATATTATTATTCGTCACAACAACAAAGAAAACCGCTTTCGCCGACTAACCTCTCGGTCCTGTGGACTCATGTCCTGTATCAAACCGCGATAATTCTCCATTGAAAACTGCAAATCACAGCAACATTCATTTCGTCAAAACGTATTCAGCAACAACAAGAACAAAGCCAGGAAGACAGAGCATTTTTCAGCCGAATATCTTAAAATCAAAACCAGACTGCAGTTGAAACTAATCGCTTTACGGCCACTCCACTTACAGCCGCTTGAATTCTTCATTCAATAGAACATTACCGTAGGCCCGCGGGTGTCGGTTTTAGGGACGCTTCGACTGAAATATGTCTGGCCAATCACAGTTACAGAAGATAATCAAATGAAGCAATCAGGTATTAAACCAGGGACGTGTCACCGGCGAAAAGCGCGGGAAAAAGCATACCAGCAAGTCACGACCGGTTTTAAACTCAATTTTGATTGGCCGAGAAACTGGCGCCCAAATATTGTCAGGAAGGGTTTAGGGTGCGTTCCTTTGGGATGATTCGGATCAGAATCAGTGATCCGAGATCACCCGGATCATGGTAAATCAAACGAAGTCTTTCAAAAGGATAAATTTATCGTCTCCTTTGATGTACTATAATCCGATCGATCCGATTACTGAACCTCTTCAGGGTCATCCCAGCGGAACGCGCCCTTAGTTGCATCAAAAGAAACTGTGGCGCGATGTCGGTAGGGAGTCAAACACAAAATTTGATTTTATTAACTGAGCTAATAAAATCAGTTTATCACCGAAAAAAAAAAAGATTCAAAAGCTGACATTTCGAGCTTAGCTAGCCTGCGAATACGACCGTCTCTCCTAGGGACGTTTTTTTTTTTTTAAGCTTTTAGGTCCCAAGAGTGACCAACATCAATTTTCTCCTAACAATATCGGCAGATCATCAAGAGTAAAGGTTATGAGAATAACTAAATTGATTACCAAAGGAAGAATACTTTGATCTTCAACCAAATTCTCTCCACTATTCTTAAAAGAAATGTATGGAGATCAGTGTGGAGAATCTGTATGTAGATCTTGGGGTTTAAAGGGTTAAGGGGAACAAGGAGAGATGGCGGTATTTTTCGTAGGCTAAGCGTAATTCTTCGTCACAGCGAATCAAGGGATTGTGCGTGGTTTACATATCGAACGGTGGAGCTACGCCATTGGTGGGAACATAGAAGAAATAAGTTGAATGAACCACAAAGTGAACCAATGAATGTTTTAAAGTAATACTGTCAAACCTCTTTAATACAGACACCAAAGGGACAGAACCAAGTGTCCCCTTTGCAGAGGTGTCCGTATTATAGAGGTAATGAATGTACGATTTTTGGCATTTCTGGAACCAAACGAACCGTTCGTAACTGAGAGGTGTCCGTAGGGAGAGGTTAAACTGTAAACCCAAGGTGATATTTGTTACCTGTTACCAAAGCTCGCCATATTACAAAAATAATACCTTTCTCATTCATTCACCGAGCCAAGCATATGAACCAGTTATTAATTCAGAGTTGAGCTGGTATTTAACAAAACCGCGTTAGAAGCCAAAGGTTGTGCACTGTTCGCGGTACGAAGAGGTTTTGTGTATGGGTTAAGGCACCAAGTAATAACTAAGTAAAGAACTAAAGGGGCTGTGCCACGGCAGTCCAGTTCGTTTTGTTTAATTTTGCCAATTACTCGTCCTCAATCGCTATGGAACTTAAAGTAAGCAAAGAAATAACATGTAAATGACAAAATCAGAGACCCGAGACAAACAAATATGTCTCCTGAGCATTATTTTTGAAGTTGCTAGCAGCAAGGATCAACTTTGAAAAACTGTTAGGCTGAACAGTTTTCAATCCGTTTCAATCTTCTCCAGTTTTGCCCATCCGTGGCATTTGTTGTTTCCGTTATGTTACTTTAACCTTCCTTTAAAGTTAAAAGCGGTTATTTTTATGTTTCTCTTAATTTAACAGGCATTTTGTAATTTCCTAATTTGGCTGAATTTCGTGACACAGCTCCTTTAACCCAAAACAGCGAAATCCCGTTGCATGACCCCTTTAATTACAGTTTCAGGGCTCTTACTCCTTTTATGTCACAAAATAAAATGACTTTCAAGGACCCTACCTTAAAATTTCAAGACATTTTTAAAGAGTTTATGCAGAAACGCTGAAAAAGGAAAGCTTGAATTACAGTGTACGAAAGTTAAAAACACCTTTCATGCAAACCAGGGACATGCGTGGTACCCTTGTGGGTCAATGTGCCCACGTGCACGACAGAAACTGACGAATAAACGAGAGTTACATAGTACTACTCACTTTCTTGACTCAAAGGCGAAGTTTGGTCGTCTGAAGACACCCTCAAAGGGATATGTTTGGAAACTCGCACTAACATGTGAAACTGAAATGATCACGTTGTTTCAATCAAAAACAGCAGAATTGTTAAAACAAAAAATCAGGGCGAGAAGAGAATTCAAAAATCGCTTGCCCTTCGAGTAAGTTGTTGTTCAAGCCTCCTAAACAGGCCTTATTAACTACAAAGTTGGGTTATCCGGTCAAACCTGTTGTTTCAAACAGCTCCCACCCCCACCTCCACTTGCGCACTACGTTTAAACCACTATCAAACAAGTATATTTTATAAGTTCTTGTAATAATTTATTGTACATAAAGCATTGCCTTAAGGTGGCTCTCTTATCACTCACGTAGCACCGAGAGCCATAATCTGCAAGCCATGTTCTTCTTTGTATATAGGACACAAAAGGGAGGTTGGGATCCCAGGCGTTCCTAGCGGAGAACGTGGAAACTGGGCAGAAGAATCGTGACGACTTTCATTGTATACAAATTTTAGTGAGACTCGTGATGAGCATGTGGTTTACTTACGGCGATGATTGAGGTGATGCGGGTAGTTGATCACGTTCTGGCTTTTTGGCAATGACGTAATTTTCCCTGAATCAAGGCCCTTGATTTTCGTGTATTCATACACGCGTATTAAAAAGCAAATACCCTGAGGAATACTCGACCGTCGATAAAGTAGGACATGAAAGAAATCATGTTTCGTGGTGTATTGAGGCATCACGTTTCTCAGAATGTTGACGCAATTACTGGAACTCTATGGTCGATATTACAGATTCACTTTGTTGTATGTATTTAATTGATACATTGCGCTTTAGATAGATTCACTTTATAAATACTTGAGATATCAATGATTTGACCTTCAACTACTAGAAGCAACTTCAATTACTCGTCTAAAGTTACGTATGTGTCATGGATGTGTTTATAAGGGTAGCTTTGTACTTGGCTGTCGCGCACTCTACTTGCAGCACTTCATCGGTCAATGGAAACTACTAGTCTACAAATTGAACTGGTTTATTTATTTTCGAAGTTCTCTAGTTTGGGAAATGTGTATTTATTTTTCATACTGACGTCTTCATTGATGTTTCCTTGATGTCGTAGATTTGCAAGGTCTCGATTTTTGCCTCATAGTATTGCCTTTGATTGTGGAAGATTGTTTGAAATTACACTGCATTATCGCCTAGACCCGATCATTCGAAAGTTTCACTTTAGATTTGTAAACTGTAACGATTGAACTACAATCTTTTACCAGTTTAAGTTTAGTCTGACTATTCTACATTTATTACATGGCTGAGTCTGTTTTCGCCATGCGATTGGTCAATTTGCGGTCCGTAACTTGCTATACGGACCAAAATTTTTAAAGAAAATGCTCATTTCGGAGCTCTAAATCTCTTTACCTCGGAAAAAAGGTTTAAATAAAGTTATAAGGGGCCTGTCAACCTTGAGGACTTGGATGTTGACTTTGGCCTTCAACATTTTAAACTGTGTTTATTTGTAAACGAAGGCGATGAAGAAACTAACTAGATATAATTGTGTAAAGTTTGCTTATCATTTTTGCATAAATTATGACCTAAATTTGGAAACCGCTGAATTTCTCGCATTGGATCTTTGCGATTTTGGTGAAACTTTGTTCAACGCATGGCACTTATGCGCACTATATGTAGCCGAGAGATTTTCACGAAAAAATGCCGGCAACAGCAGATTTGCGACTCAGACCTCAAAGGGGCGTGGCATTATAATCACGTGACATTTACTCCGATCGCCAAAAAATTTGTGTTATATTGTAGATTGGTCTATATATTATCCATTCTATGTGTTAGACTTACGATAAAAGAAAAGGTGGGGATACCAGAGAGCTTCAAAGTAGGATGGTAGCCCCTCAAAAAAACTGAGTCGAGTCACTTTAAAAAACATTAGTCACTGTCGGTGTGATGTTGCAGCAAGTGAGCTGTTCTCTTTAAGAATATGTCCCTGCTTCGTAGTCTTCGTTGGAAGAGAACTAATTAGCTAACTGTGACTAGTTTTAGTGATATTTTCATTTTGTTTTATGATTATAAAACTTTTTAACATAAACAAATGATTTTGTTTGTGTCTTTACAATCTGCAATGAAACAGAAAACAATCTTAGAGGTGCAATTCGGATTACGACATTTGTCTGGTTTTCTTACACATATTTTCTTATCAAGTTCGTTAGTAATTGTTCTTAGTCTAAGTCTTAGTTCAGGTACAGAAGTGTAGTTGTTGTAATGTTTCTTTCACAGCTTGTCTCACTTCTGTGATCTTCCAGCAGCACAGAAACGGGTTTAACGACGAGTTTAAAGACACTAAAGTAATTGTAAATCCCCTAGCAAGGTAAGTAGATAACTGCATTCCCCTTTGAGGTGTTAAAGCTTCAGCTATAACGAACGGCAGATAACAAATAAGCAATGTTACCTGCACCCACAGTGCACTGTACACTGCCTTTCTGTATCGAGCTTTATTCAGTGTATTTACTTGGCTCGATTGCCCTTGAACAACATGGTTCTGACCATGAATTTGGTTATGACGCAGAGACATGAAGATTTTTGTGTAGGCACAGATTGTAGTGAGTAAACAAAAAGCTGCACCTATATATGCGTACAATGAAAGTATAAGACGATTAAGAAAGGAGGTAGATGCACCGACAACAGACACAATCCAACCACAAATAACAATTAAACGTGTTCTTTTCAAAGTTACAACTTGTCTGTATCTGAGACCCAGTAGCAAAGCGAGAAGTCTGTCCACGCTTATTGCAGTCAGTGTTATCAACGACACTCCACACAAAGTAACGCTTACGAAATATGCTGTCAAAATTGTGTAGTAGCAAATGACCCGTCTTCTGTTCACCACAGAGATCATATAAGCAACGCGTAGAGGCTCCGCAATGATACCAACACAAAGATCAGTTATCGCAAGGTTACGATACAGGAGTTTGGATGACGGATGAATTGATGTGTCCTTGCGAAAAGCAAATAGGATCAGAGTATTCCCCAAAAATGCTGTAGTTGACAAAAAAATGTCGATGACAGAGAGAAAAACGAGCTCGCCATGTACCTCTCCTGTAAATTCCACAGAGCAGTAAAGTCCTATAATTGTTTGCGGGTTTTCACCTCCAGTAAAATTTTTCATTTCCATGACTTTTCTGCCATGCGGCTACAGTCAACTGAACTCTTTTTTAATATATCTGTCTTCCTTATATGACTGCTACATGCACCTTGTCAGCAAACAATGAAATATTTGCTCCGTATTTTCAGTTTATTAAGAGCAGTTGTCTGTAAGATTCGAGCTATATTGAAAAGTCGCTGCCACACTATCTCACCGAATTGGCTAAAAATTGGCAAGTAGACTTGATTTGGGGTCTTTAATAAGGAATAGGTAACTTTACGTTCTAATTCCTCCTATTTCGGAAATTGTCGACATGGCCGGTTTTTGGGTGCCTCGGACCGGCGCCATATTGGTTAATAGAAGCTGCTTTTGAGCCTTCGACTACAACCCTGTCATCAAAGCTAATCTTCCTTTGCCGATACACATTGAAAGAACAATCCCTCTTTATTGTATTTTTAGAAACTACTTCGAAATTGATAACGTTTTCGCAACGATCGATTATACTTTTGGTGGGTATACTTTTTGAATTTTCGACACCCGCAAAATTAACAGAATTTTAAAGGCGTATATCTCTTTTGCCACATCGCATTGAAGCTTGCCACTCTGCCTGAATACTCATTGTTTGTGGTTAAATCGAGTTCGTTAATAAGAAAATTGGGCAAATTTAACGGAGCAGAAAAAAAATAAAAAAAGTAATGAATTTAAGAGTGTTATAGCGACTTTGTCGGGGTGAGGACAAAACATGGACCAGGGGTCCATGGACCCCCTCTTTGGATCGGGTCTATGGACTATTTTCATGGACAGGGTCCATGGACCCCCTGTCATTGACCAGGTCCATGGACATTTTTTTTTATCTTTATAAGAAGGTTTTGTACCAGGTCCATGGACACTCAAAAAAGATTTGACGAGACACTGTCGACCAATGCTCACGATTGATCACAAATATTTAGTTGTGCTTACATGACGTACACTCTGCTTGCACATGTGCAGTCGCAAGACTGCTAAATTAAGCTAATTCAAAAGGGATTATTCTATTTTGCGAAACGAAACGAAACGAAACGAAATATATGGGAGAGGGAGAAAAAATGCTTATTAACCTAAACACAACTTAAGACAACGTTGACAATGTGTTTGAAAGTAATAGTTAACGAAAAATGACGGATTTTTACCTTTTTCGCAAAGTAGTAATTTCAATACAATTACTATTTTGCGAAATGGCGTTTTTCAGCTTTATTTAGCAAATATGTCCTTTTCGTCTGAAACAAATTGTGTCTACCAATAAAATGATAAATTTCAAACCGTTAAAACCTAATTTTCCCTGCTCGTCAAGAACGCCTCTGAGGACAAGTAGTGGTAATGTGCTTGTTAGAAAGACGTCCAACATAAGAAAACATTCATAATCAACTTGGTTAATGCATTGATAAAGGCTAACTTTCTCCTTTACTCTTAGGGACAGAGTTCAAAAGCGCAAAAGATTTTTATTTCAGCTCTAGTATGTGTTGTCTAACGATTTGCCTTGAGGTTCTCTAAATTTTCCAGATCAAACAAGCTGTGCCCATCGTAGACTAGACGGCAAAACAGTCAGTATTTTGCGTATTCAACTACGCGCTAACAGTCAAACAAAAGGTCCGAGTCTCGCTCTCTGTTTTCAGCCTCAGTCTGTGCCCATCGTACATAATCTTGTCTGGGCTCCCTTGAAAAATTGCACTTCATCAGAAGCCTTCAAGTTCATCCTCCGCCGCGACAACTTCATGATCTATTTTAATGGGTGGTTTTCTAGAACTATCCTATGGCTTGTCCTTTCTGGTCGTCACTATATTAGCGAGCACGTTTCAATTTGTCTCCAGCAAAAGTATCTATCAGGAGCGTGGCCAGGATTTTCCAGGTGCGCGCACAATTTTCAAAACTTACCCTAACTTGTTACTCAGTTCTCTCGTAACGTTTCCCCATTACATTTGCTAATTCTGTTAACTAGGTGAGGTTATGCGTGGATGAAATGGCACTTGCAATCGGTGAGAAAATTAGGTTAGACACTTTACCCTCAAGGACGACTCTCACGTTTTGCTGACACTTTCTACCTTACAAGAGAGAAGTCAAGCTTTGCCGTCCCCACTCCACGTAAAAAATGTCGTTCGGCAGGAGCCCATCATTTGATAGGCTCCTGCGTTCGGCTGTTCAAACTACTTTTGGGAAACAACAAACTTCCCAACTTTAATTTTTAATAAAGGTATAGGGGTAGGAATCCAAATTGTTTTCAAATGTTCTTCAAAATGTACACCATGCAAATGGAGTATAAAAAATTAGTTTATCAACAAAGAGTGAATTAAAGGTGTCATGAGGCGTGTGTGATTTTATGAACTATTTAACGTGGTCCTTTTCTTACGGCTTATGTCCGTTGGTGAAATTGCTACTTGGGTTTTCTTGGATTGAAAAGGGCGGGCTCTTTCTAAACGTGGCGTTGTTTATGGAACCTCAGTATTCAGAACAGAATCAGTCGATGGCAACAACGAAAAGGCTTTTATGTGGTAAGTTACAGTGATGAACCTTGCCTCGAGATGGTCATATTTTTGTACTTACCTTCAGTGTTGGTCTGAAATTTTTTTTGTTATGGATGGGGGGGTGGGGAGAGATCAGAACATGTACCTCGTGTTGTTTACGAGACATTAAAGTAGTGAAAGCTGTTAAACAGTCTTCTACAAATCAGAATAGTTGCAAATGCTTACGGGAGGCCCTGACTATATGATGATTAGGAGGGCAATATTTGGAAAGGTGCATGGTCGTGGAGTTAACAAGATTTGACTAATCAGCCAATTTCCCGCCAAACATAAGGGCGTGGCCAGCGGCCCCAAAATTGTGTTCGCTCGCCCCGGGCTGGCTCGACTTTTGGGATACGGTCATGGAGTTACTCGCCCCAAAGTGACTGCATTTCGCTTTTCAGAGACCCATCACTTACTGTTTGACCCTCTCGGATCAGATTTTATGTCCGTGATGTAATACTGGTGGAGAGGTCAGTCCACAAGCAGAGTCGTGAAAAACACCGACACTTGAGCCTTTACGTTCAAAACATTCCTGGCTATCGGGGAAAATAAAGGAGCTTTTTAAAAAAAGTAAAATAGAATGTCATTTCAAATTTCACTTTGTCACCGTTAGAAAATTATTGTTAATCAGACCAAATGAAAGTTTGCTCAAAGAGGGGGGGAGTCGTAGTTCTTAACAGTTCCAGTTTGCTAAAAAATTCAAGGTTACGAAAAAATACTGGGCGAACTGCAGAATACATGCAAGAATGAGAAAGAAAATAAAGCACAACTTCCTGTTCAAAGTCGGGTGAAACGTTTAATAGCGCCAAGAAGACTGAACTTTATGAAGGTTGTTCATTTCACTTCCGTTCCAGCGTGCAGTTATTTGTCCTCCTAAAAATAGCTTCGTCTCCCACCGATCATTCCATGTCATATTTTTCGGACTTATTATTCAGTAATGACGGTACGATCAGGTAACTTGACTTGATGAGTTCTTTAATTTCATTTCATGTACTAGTTTTATATCTTACGCTGGAAAGATCTGCCAAATGTACATTAGCAAAGGTAGGTTCCTGTTTACAAGTGTAATTATCGAATACCATATAATTTGCATAAAGCTGCAGTGCACAGTTTGTTTTTCTAGCCTTTAGATAAAAATTGACAACGTTTGCGTTATCTTTGCCGAAGAAAATATGTAATTTGTAGCTGTATACAGCGAAATATTACAGAGAAAATTGTAACTGTGCGTTACACGAGCGGCTTTCTATTGGTCTGGCAACTCGAAGAGCGAACTTGAGCGGGTGAGGACAAAACATGGACCAGGGGTCCATGGACCACTTTCATGGACCGGGTACATGGACCCCCTGTCAAGGACCGGGTCCATGGACAGTTTTTTTTAATGACGAGAAATGAACAAAAACAGAAATAGTACAAAAATAAGGTTAAAAAACAACAACAACAACAACAAACAATGCTCGATTGATCAGTAATGTTTAGTTGTGCTTACATGGTGTAAAAAAAGGGGGGTCGGTACCTCATGCCAACATGCTACTTGTTCCAATGAATTGTTTTCTCTGATGGTAGATTATGCTTCGAAGGAAAACGTTTTGACTGAGCAAATGCAAATTTTTGCCGCGCATTTCATACTGAGAGGTCGTGACACACATATTGATTTTCTACCTCTTTAAAAATGTAAAGCTGTTCATTGCGGCTGATTAAAAGGGTTTTAGTTTGTTTAATTTCTCCAAAGTGCATCCTGGATCTGAATAATTCTAAGCCACTTTGTTTTTGTCCATGAATGTCACTTTTTCCTGCAATGTTTTGTCACGCTGGGCCCAGCTCCTTAGCGCTTTTAGCAGGACGATTATAAATTCTCACGGACTGAGTGATTTACAGAACCAGATCTCGAAGAAGAAGACTGTGGCATGGATCGTAGCTTAAACTGAAGCTACATCAGCTATGGAGAATTGCGATGTGACTCAGTCATGATTGCTCTAAAAGCAATGAATTCTTAACTTCAGCTTGTTTTTCTAAGGGTGATGCGAGTCTTTAAACTGGAGGGCGTAATTCCTCTCTTGGTGATAACTTTTGAATTAGCTTAATTTAACAGTCTTGCGACTGCACTTGTGCAAGCAGAGTGTACGTCATGTAAGCACAACTAAATATTTGTATCAATCGTGAGCATTGGTCGACAGCGTCTCGTGAAATCTTTTTTTGGCACTACAGTCGAACCGCGCTATTTCGAGGTCCCAAGGGAAATGGGAAAAAGTTCGAAATAGCGGGGTTTCGAAATAACCGGGGAAGCGTAAAGGAGAAGGGTAAATCCAAGGGAATTCGATCTTCCTTCGAAATAGCGGGGACTTCGAATTAGCCGAGTTCGAAATAGCGGGGTTCGACTGTATTTCTGTTTTTGAGTGTCCATGGACCTGGTGCAAAACCTTATTCTTATAAAAATAAAAAAAACTGTCCATGGACCTGGTCCATGACAGGGGGTCCATGGACCCGGTCCATGAA